AACCGGTTACCCGGCCCATCCCTAGTTTAAGCCAGTATTTTCAGATAGGCGTAATGGTTAAAATTTATTATTTATTTTACGTGTTATTAATATTTCAAGATAAATCTTAACTTTACATAGGATTTTTCGCTACTTTAATAACCTTATACGGAAATTCAGAAAATTGGATGTATCTGTTCACTTAGGTTCTTATGGTAGACCATTAATTTATATGCCAGAAGCATATCCGCGAATCTCCTCCCTACTCAGGTAAAGTAATTTAGTTACTTCGCCTTAAGAATGCAATCTTATCTTCACCTGAATATCTTCTAATACATGACTTTTGCAATTAGTAGTAGGTAACACGTTGTGAAAAACACAGCGCTTAATTACTACTTTAATTACAGCTCACTAATTATGAGGAATACTTTTCTTCATTTTATTGGTACGTTTCGGAGCGTTCTTCGTTATATTTAAATAAATAGACGCATTTGCGGCTACCGATTCAATACTTCACGTGTAAATTATCGGTTTAAGTTATGGTTTTCTGTGTGTAATTAGTCGACAGGAGCTGCAAGTTCGTTAATGAATTGTACACATCTCGATGGGATGTTTTTCTTCATACGTACGTATATTCATTATGCAATTATACGCTTAGCATAAGGCGTTAAATTAGCTAAAGGATTTATATTTAAGTAGCCCTCGTCATATTCGTACGTATTTGTGGGTACACGTATGTGGTTTGCTAATTTACACATTCTTTGCACACGTATGTAACGGAATTTGGCTTTCTATAATTTTGAAACGTTTGTTCAATACAATATTGAACACCTGCGTATAGTCAAACGAATTTAATTCCAGTGGATTATCACATGATTTATTTATTAATTAGTGGGTAAAGTATGAATTCAGATGTTAAACAGACCAAGAAAGTTTTGATGACATGATAATAAAATTTTAAGTAGGTAGATACAGTGAGTGAAACGGCGTAAAAATCGCATTATTCGTTTAGCAGTAATATTTAATAAAACTGTGTAAAATAAAATAATTCGAAGTGGTCTGTACTGTCAGACGCGTATCGCGATTTCGATCTTTTCGCAGGCATTTTATTTGATTAAGCTAACGTGCCTATCACGTTGAAGTTGGCTACGCCGGAATTCGTTTTCAGCAAGTAGATATCCACACAAGTGGACCTTGTCGGAGCATACGTAATCCTAAAATGTAGCATCGTGCTACAGATGGCGTTTACTACGCCATTTGTAGTATCTTCTAAAACGCACTGTTAAGACAGCAGGTAAAAGTGGGTCCGTGTTCTGTCGGAGCTGCTTGCGACGCGCTGATGAAATCCAAAAAGATCGAAATTGTGATTCGCTTCTGGCAGTTTCGATAGAATAGAGACCACTTCGAATTATTTTATTCGATTAAGCTAACGTGCTTATCACGTTGAGGTTGACTACGCCGGGATTCGTTTTCAACAAGTAGATATCCACACAAGTGGACCTTGTTGGAGCATACGTAATGCTAAAATGTAGCATCGTGCTGTATTTTCTAAAACTGAGTAAAATCTTCATAAATATGATTAAAAACGCACCAATTTAAAACACTTTATTTATGAAGAAACCGAAGCCGGTCCTGGACGTGAATTAGCATGTATAGAGAAATTGCGTTAACAACTAAGAAACTACATCGATGAAAAGTGTAAAAAGTGACGGTTGTGGAACGACTAATAAAGTAAATATCACCAGCTCACTGCTACGCTACTACTCCTAATAAACTTTAGACACCCATAACAATTAATTAAATAACTACTTTGTTCAATGTAGTACTATTTAAAGTATACCTCGACATGGTTTTAAGAACACAAAATACAAAAGAAATATACTTGTACAACACGCATGCCGCAGCTGATACAATGTAGCGTTGCAATGTCGTATTTCCGTGCGTGATCCCGCCAGGGCCGAACTGACGATTGACTGCACTTCCAAATACGTTTTTCTCGAAAACGGTCAATTTTGGGACTATGATGATCTTACACTACTCTTAGTGGCCAGATGTCTTCCTATAAGCGAACGCCCTCGGTATACGATACATATACCAGATCGCAATTTCCACTAATACATAATTATTAAGAATTTTAAGGAATAATTTTTTGTTTGCCTCTATTGCACCGTGTGTTGTGCAAATCGCTTTGAGTGTAGCAAATGGTAACATTATGAGTAAAATAAGATAATTTATTTCGCATTAAGTTGTAGAATTTTTGAAGACGCTTTCTCTTAATACTGGCGTGTTACATAAGAAAAAGCAACTGCCCGCCTGTGCTGCTTAGGTTGGACAGTTTTAATTAAAATGTCTTAAAAACTTCAGTCAGGTTAATTATTATTATTATTTATTACTATCATAAAAGAAACCAGCCAGTACCTGTAGCAAGAAAAGATTCGAACACACCTTAACATAAACGAAAAATTGCTTGAAGCCCTCGTTTGTAAATTAAATAAGGTATTTTTTAAATTAATTATTAATTCTCGTTGCACAACTAATTTATGTGTCAATTTATTTCATATTTACTTTTATGATAATCTCGATGGTTCCGGTGTAGATTTTACTTATTTAACGTTGCCAACGTCTCCCATCATCATCATACGTATTAGAAATCAAAGTTTTCATTGTTATATCGGATTTAATTATGTCATGTAATTTGCATAATTGCCGTTATTATTTAGGTTGCATGTCACCAGGTGTAGGAGTAACATGGAAACTGCCTATCTGATTAAAAAACAAACAATTTCATCTTGTCTTTCACTGAACCAAAAAAAAAGTCGTAGGACGCGTAATAAAAGACCCGAGTAAATGGTCAGTAAAGTGATAGGTCATTGTTTAGTTGACCTAATTTTCTTTAACAAAATGTTATCATTTTATAAAGGCTATTAATTCGAGTACCTATTAACATTATTATAATATAAATGTATGTTTTATTCATAGGTGCCTTAAAATCACTGACAAATTGCATACCTGGTCTATGTTTATATGAGCTAAACTAAAAATTCATCATCATCATATGGTCGTCAGCCCTAAGACTGGTTGGACACTCACCTCAACTCTTTCCTATCTTGAGCTAATCTTCGCATTTCCCTAAAAACTAGAATAACCCACATCCTGATTAGACCTTCATGCCTGAGAAGGTGTCCTACCAACCTATCTCGCCTATTTTTTATTTACTTCCCTAGAATCCTCTGTTGTCATATTATTTCTAATACCTCATCATTCGCCGGTAACACCACATTCTAAAATTCAGTTTTTAGTGTTTAAAAAATATAGAGAAAAATACAACGTGTAATTATACAACATGCTGCTGAAGTGAAACTTCTTCAAACACACAAACATACCGGGATAGGGGTTAAGGAATTGGTTTAATGGTATTATTTGTACACTATGAATTTAAATTTTACACTATACATGCCGGAGTTGCCTGTAACGAACGTTACATTGAAGCGCGCTCACGGCTCAAGCGATCCCCACTACGAACTAGACTACGTGGCCGAGTAGAGGGGGGACATCCGTTTCATGATTTCGTTACATAGCAACTCGCATGAAACGAACTCACGCTACCGTGCGTAAGTAAGTTTCACTTCAAAAATAATTTCCTGAAATGTTTCTGATTTTGAAAAATATTAAAAACACACATGTTAAAAAAAAATGATTAAAACGCTACTGAGAACGAAGAAGTTAAAACCTTGAATCGGCTAAACTGTATGTCGTTGAATAATTGGTCCACATCTATCGATAATTTTAAAAAGATCTGAAGATACAAATTATCTCAAGAAGGAATTGTATTGATACTGTTTCTTAGATTACCCTATATATTATTTTCTAATGGTAGCTTGCTCGATGATTTTAGAGCCGTTAAAACGTATTTCGTTGCAAGTGCTGCATTTGGTAGGTACCTATACAAACGTATCAAGAAGAAATAAATAAAACGGGACGAAAATAGTTTAGTCTATTTTCTCCGCGATTAAATGCAAGAAGTGGTCGAAACAGGTACGTGTATTTAATCTGATTAACGTAGATTTAAGTATGTAAATTTTGGTCTAATTTCGATTCGTAAACGAATTACTTGCATGTATATGGGTGTAGCAATTCGCCGAATAACGAGCACCTGAGACAGATTCTAACACTCCGAGTTACGCATAGATTCTAGAACATGTCTACTTTTTAATTTCTAATTGAAATCGTGCTTCTTGTGTTCAAAAACACAGGTGTAAAAGTACTTGCAAGAATCGTGTTCATTGTATGCGTATTACACTACGACATGCACATATTACGATGTCTATTTTAATTCCTTTTTTTTCGTTTCTATTTGATTTGGGAATACAGACAGGATTTTCCAAAGCTGCCGACTAGTGGCTCACATCTGTCCATTTAAATTAGTATGAAAAGCCTTTGACTTTAGGGTGAATTATATAAAATTTATAGATCTAGTTAAATTACTGTTCGCAAATAGTTAAGAATGTGGGCTGTTCTAGTTTTAGGGAAATGCGAAGTGTTTAGCTCTGGATAGGAAAGAGTGGAGGTACGTGTCCAACCAGTCTTAGGACTGACGACCTTATGATGATATGGTTGTTAAAAAAAATTTTATTATTTAACCCTATATCTCTAAAAGCATTCTAGTAAAAGTAGATACACATTTTCGCTTTTATGTTAATATAAGTATTTGTGTATTTTCACCAAACTCATATTTGTTTCAAGTAAAATATTGCAATTGTCCTTTTTTATGCTTTTTAATTTGGTCTGGGAATAACCTATCTGTGTGGCCTAAAAATGATCTCCACAACTCAACATAAAAATTCTGTATTCATACTCTAATTCGTAAATAGGATTACAAGAAGTAAATGCTTCATATTTACGTGTAATTTCCCTTAATAAGCTAGTAATTAATAATTATTATTGTTGATGTGATTTATAACCATAATTTAGTCTTTTACAATATGAAAGTAAAATTACAATTATAAATAATAAAGACTTACTTGAGTTTGGAGTAAAAGCATACTTGACTGAGGACTGCTTGGAGCTGAAGGCTGCGCGCTCGCCGCCACCAGAGGGGCACTTGTAACGTCGCCCTGTACCAAAAGAGTACCTGGAAAAAAATAAAATGATATTGTCAAAAAATTCACACTCAAAAGTAACCGAGAAGTAAAGAAAAAGCGCAGCCAAATGTTAAAAACAAAAAAGGAAGAAAATTATAAGGTACCATAAAATAAACATGCCCGATTAAATCTCCAGGTGTATTGCCTATTTTTGGTGATAATTGTTAGATTAAACTACTGATTGTCAGTAATAACATTAAGTAATTTTTACTAACTAGTTCGTTTCGCCTTTTAATAGAACTTCTTTATTATGCAGTACCTAAGAAAGTGTAACAGTGTTGTACGTAATTATTGTGACGATTTACTATCCCGATAGCTACTTAATTATGTTGTAAACATGATTTCATAATGTAACTTCGTGTAATCTAATCTTTGTTAGCCAGTTTTTACAGTATAAGCACAAATTCAAACAGAAACGCAAAAAGGTACAATTTATTGTATTATGCAGCATCTAATTGAATAATCGCATATGACTAAATTAATTCCTCTGAAGTAACTTCCTGTTTATCGATTGGTTTTAACTAATTAAACAAGAATTTATACATGAGATAAAACAGACAATTAAAATTCATTGAGTTTTTTGTTAAACGTAGTTTTTCTATTTTCTCATTGATTCTATTTAAAGAACAGACACTTGGAACAGCCGCAGGAGTAATTTTTCGCCCATTCAAGGTTTACGAAGAGAAGTGACCAAAGCACGTAAAAAATAAAAAATACAATAAATTTAATATCAAGTTATAGACAGTATATCGCCATCTAGTGATATTTGCTACTTTATTTTCTTTAATGAAAGATTCTTTGCATTCGTATGGTATCTTCTTCTTCTAACTTCTTTTTCTTATTTTAATCTTCGTATTTTTCCTAGTATACGAGGGTGGATTGATAAGTTTCCGGCCTGACCAAGAAAAACAAGGTTTTTAAAAATTTTTTTTTTTTATTTCTCAACATAATCTCCTCCAAGGCTGATACATTTCTCATAGCGGTGTTCCAGTCTATTAATGCCATCTCTATAGACTGATTCGTCAAGCTCCTCAAAATAACCATTTACAGCTTCGATTACTTCTTCATTGTCCGCAAATCTCTTACCGCCA